GGCGCGGGTACGGCAGCGGGCGGGAGGGGGGGGGGGTACAGCTACGGGCCAAGTGGTGGGGCTGGGGGGTTTAGGGTTTGACGGTCTGAGTCCGAGCAGGAAGGCAAAAGTAAGCCCCCGGGGAGCAAGAACCTCCCTGGAGAGATAGGGCCCCACAACGGGACAACTCGCATATCATCATTCTAATTATCCTCCTCCTCCTCCTCCTCATCATCATCATCATTGTCATCAGTAACATCAGTATTATCATTATCATCGCCAGCTGCTGCTGCATCCCCCGCCTGTGGGCTTATCTGGACGCGGGTTGGAAACGGAAAACCTCCGCTCCAGGCAACTCCAGCAAGAAGCGCCCGGGAGCTGCTTTTTTCGATCAAAAGGAGAACACAGCGGTAGCCGGCAGATCGACGATCATACATGTGGGTCTTGCCCACAGACACCTGATTATGTCACTGGTACGAATGTACGTACGCTTTGCTGTACGGGTCGTACGGGACGTACGAACTCACGTGTAGAACAGTCCTACGTTGAGCAGGGTGGTGGCCACCGCATCACACGCCGCCGGTACGGCGAATACGAGCACTCGGCGCATGCGGAATGCCGGGCCCAGTCGCTGCAGCTCGGCGCGCCGCCGCACCCTGCTCTTGGCGCCCGAGTAGCGCCACTCAAGCAGGAAGAAGGGCAGCAGGCACAGCATCTCGCCGAAAAACATGAAGGCCGACTACTCGAGGAGGAAAAAAAGGGGATGGGGATGGAGGAGGGGATGGGGAAAAAGGGGATGGGGATGGAGGAGAGGATTGGGGAAAAAGNGGGATGGGGATGGAGGAGGGGATGGGGAAAAAGNGGGATGGGTAACCGATGGCGAAGGGCGAAGGGAAGGGCAAGGCGGCGGGTCGGGGGGTGATAAACCCTTACCACTGCTGCATGGACAGACTGGCGGGCAAATCAATGTGCGGGAAGGGGGGGTCGAGGAGGGGAACGGATATGTGAAGGGGGTGGGAAGCTGCCCACGTCAAGAGGAAGGAGGGGGAGGGAAGGAGGGGGGGATTGACGAAACGGGACGCGGGGGAGGTGCGGGAAGCGCTAGGGGGGAACGAAGGCTGGGGGAAAGCGGGTTTCGGGGCTGGCGTGCACACGCGCGGCGGGAAAAGGGGAGGGGAGGAGTTGTTCCCGCGAAGGTCGGAGAGCTGCCGCAGTGAGGTGGCCACACGTGGAAAAGGGGACCGTAAGAGGGGGAAAAGGTTTTTGGCGGGTCTTGGATGGGACGGATGGAGCACGGGAAGGCATGACGGGTGCCAAAGCGGCGGTGAACGCTTCCCTCCTGGGTGAAAGGCTGGCGTGGAAAGGGTAATGAGCCCCCTCGGTAGCAGTGAAAGTAATCAACCTGTGTGCGGGTGCAAACCATTACCGCGGCCGCATACATGATGGGTATGCGGAGCCTGGCCTGGCGTTGTGATAGCGAGGTAGCTTGTAATGTATCTATTTCCGAGTCCAAGCAAATATGGCCTCATACATGTTGTGTCACAAGGCTTGCCTGTACGGCAGGATGGTTAAAAGTGAGGGGTTTCCCATCAGGCGCGTGATCCACCACAGCCAAATCCTGCGTTGGCAGGCGAATGGATTGAATTAGCTGATAACCTGGGCGGAAAGCCCGGGCGCAAGCCTTGAGCGCTGCTGACGCCTTCTGGCGGCACTCGAACCCAAGCTGCGGGGTAAAATTGAGGCACGCAATTCCGCAGAAGTATATTTATCGGGCTAAAGCAAAGCGCCGAGTATGAGGCGCCTCGTGGCCAACGCACGGTGTCGAAACACTCAGCCGCTGCAATTGAGGTAATAAGGGAATGCCGCATTTCACAGGGTACCTGGAATTTTGTCGTGAGGGTATTGATAGTACCAAAAAATAGCATGCAGCTTGATAAAACGACAACCTTCAGCCGGGCCATTTCTCCGTCCGGAAGCAAAGTGCGCACTAATTAGGCATGCACGCCAGCAGCATAACAAGCCGTGCCTTTTTAACATAAAACTGTAACCAAGTTCCTTAACATTACACAGCAATACAAGACACGTGCGCGTTTGCCGCATGAGTGCGCTGTCATGGCATGCGCCGTACAATTCAAAGATACTCGAGCAGCAGAATTGATCCGCCCATGACACCTTGAACTTGTTGCACTGCTAAAGACTGCGGTGTCGTTACTTCATCGAAAAGGATTGTCCTGGAGCGCACCGTGCTTTTGGACCGTTTGATGTTGTGGACTGAGCTACGCTGGCTACCATTTTAACACGCTCTAACTTATTGGGGCAGCGATTACCTACAATATTCTTACTTGCAACGATGCAATCGAACGCTTGGGTGGCAGGCGCCCATCCATCGCGGTGTGCGGCTCTGCTGCAGCCGCTTCCCCAGAGCCTGGCCCCCAAGCCCTTCACTGCCGCCATAAGCAAAAGCGGGGGCTATGCATCATCCCACCGGCCGCATTTCGCACCGACCCGGTCAGTATCATCCGCCTCCGCAGCAGCCGTGGCTGATGCAGCAGCAGCAACACCACCGTCGATCCGGGAGTCCGCGCCAGCTCTACACAAGCGGCCTCAGGCGCTTCTCTCCGCAACGTCCTGCGCGGCATTGGGACGCCGGGTCGCCTGCCGGAGTGCAGCCACGGCGTCACCACCAGCACAGGCCGCCGCACCCGTAGAAACGGAGGTACGTCCCCTCCCCTCCCTTCCTCCGCGCCACCCCACTCCCCCATTTCCCGAGTGGTCGGAAGTGAAGGACGTCTTCCCCCCCTTCCCCCTTCCCCCACACACGTGCGCGTGTGTCTTATCACGGGGTTCGGTCATCTCCACGCTTGAGTGCAACCGGCAAACCCCCGTTCACACGGCGGGCGCCTGGGCGGGCTCCGCCAAGGAAGAACGAGGGGGTCCGTGTGCGCGCGCGCGTGTGTGTGTATGGCGCTTTAGAAGAAGGGCGAGGACTGGGGGTGATGGCGATGGGCACCATCTACACACACGATCTTCCCATGGGTTGCGGTGTGCGGGTATTTCCCCCCTTCCCCTCCCCTTCCCTCTAGCTGACAAGCTGATGATGACCGGGGCCTAGCCGCCTGGGCACACGATTGACTCAGCGGGCCCGGCGTGAAGAGGCCCGTGTAACGCCTCGCTAGGAGGGGGGTGGGGCCCGGTTGGGGTTGCCCCGGGGTGGCGGGGCCCTGGCCCCCTTCCGGACGCAGCACACGGGGTTGCGGTGTGTTGTTTGTGTATGTATGTAAGTATGTATGTATGTATGCGTCCATCTGCATTGCTTTTCAGATTTCGCTGCTCCTGGGGGTTTTCCCCCCTCCATCTTCACTCCCCCTCCCTCCCCCCACGACCGGTGCAGGTGGAGTACGAGGCCGTCATCGGTATCGAGTGTCACGTGCAGTTGCTGACCCGCACCAAGGCCTTCTGCAGCTGCCCCTCGGAGTTCGGGTCGGAGCCGAACAGTAACGTGTGCCCCGTGTGCCTGGGGCACCCGGTGAGAGCGGGGGGGGGAGGGAGGGGCGTTTGTGAGGGAGGGAGGGGGATGGTCCTCATGGGTAGAAAGAATGGCGGCGGCGGGGGCTCGTTCAAATGATATCTTTTATTTAGTCGGAGGCTACCGAAGCCGCGTTCGGTGCTTTCAGGCTGCCCAGCTCCCGCCCCTTTGCGCGTGGCTCGGGTCTTTCCCCCCCAGTTCCATTTGCTCGCCCGTCTCTCAGGAGAGAGAGCTAACGCCCCTTCAGCTCTCCTGCATCATCATCATCATCATCATCATCATCACCATCATCATCATCATCATCATCATCATCATCATCATCATCACCATCATCACCATCATCATTATCATCATCATCATCATCATCATCATCATCATCACCATCATCACCATCATCATTATCATCATCATCATCATCATCATCACCATCATCACCATCATCACCATCATCACCATCATCACCATCATCACCATCATCATCATCATCACCATCATCACCATCATCACCATCATCACCATCATCACCATCATCACCATCATCACCATCATCATCATCATCATCACCATCATCATTATCATCATCATCATCATCATCATCATCATCATCATCACCATCATCACCATCATCATTATCATCATCATCATCATCATCATCATCACCATCATCACCATCATCATCATCATCATCATCATCATCACCATCATCATCACCATCATCACCATCATCATCATCATCATCATCATCATCACCATCATCACCATCATCATCATCATCATCATCATCATCACCATCATCATCATCATCATCATCAATCATCATCATCATCATCATCATCATCATCATCATCATCATCATCATCATCAGCGGCAGCAGCAGCAGCAGCGTCTGATTACCACCCTCCTGTGTGTGCATTAGGGGGTTCGAACCTCCCCCTTTCCCCCCCTTTTAATACCTCTCCCCTCCGATTATCCGAATGTGGGTTGTGCTTGTGTACGTACGTACGTATGTACGTATGTAGCTGTACCTGGAGGTTACTTGTTCTCCCCCCTCCCCTCCCCGTCCCTCTCCCCCCTTCTAAGGGCACGCTGCCGGTCTTGAACGCGGAGATGGTGACTCTGGCGGTGCGGGCGGGTTTGGCGCTGGGGGCGGGTATCGCCAGGCTGTCCAAGTTTGACCGCAAACAGTATTTCTATCCGGACCTGCCCAAGGTACGGGGGAATTGGAGGGGGGTTGGCGGGGAAGGCCGGGAACTTGTGTGTGTGTGTGGTGGGAGGGAGGGAGGAAGGGCTGGGTTAGGGGCTGCACACCAACAGGGGGGACACCAACAGCCACCAGCAGTGGCATTCAGAGGAGGGTTAGGAGGGTCCCGGGGGGTCGCAAATCCTTGTCGGCATGGCGCCATTGGGGCGCATTCACTTCGGTCCGCTTTTTTCACCTCAGGCGTCTGTTTGTATGTCCTTGTGTATGTATGTATGTATGTATGTACAGGGCTACCAGATCAGTCAGTACGATGAGCCTATTTGCAGCGGGGGGAAGCTGGAGGTGGAGGTGGACGGGCAAATGAAGAGGTGGGTAGAAAGGAGAGGAAAGGAACGAGGGGGGGGGAAGGAAGGGGGAATGGGTAATGCAGTTGCAGTTGCTGCTGTCAACCGGAGGCACGGAGCTCGGGCACCGCGTGCTCTGCCCCTTGGGGATGTTCCCCAACCTCTTCCCCCCCCGTCCCGGACGCCTTTCGGTCAGTTCTACGTCTGGTACACTCTTGCCCTGGCAGCAGCTTCACTCGTTTGTGGTTCGTCTTTCCCCCCCGTCCCGTCTTGGTATCTGCTCCATCCGCCAGTGGTTCGTCTTACCCCCTCCCCCCCCCCGTCCAAACCACCCCACCCCAACCAACCCACATTACACCGCACTGAAACAGTAAGGTATTGTAAGGTGTAATCATACCTCTCTCCTCTTCTCCCCCTCCCACCGCGCCTGCCTTGCGGCATCGGGGCCCTTCCATGCTATGTCGTGCATGTCACGCCGTGTCGTACATACGCATACCCACACACAGCTTCGGCATCATCCGTGCCCACCTCGAGGAGGACGCTGGCAAGATCGTGTACGCGGGTGCCGACCGGCTGAGTGGTGCGGACCACTCCCTCGTGGACTACAACAGAGCGGGTGAGGAGGAGTAAGGAGAGGGGGGGGACGGGGGGGACATGTGGGGGGGTACGACGAAACACAGACGATTGCCGAAAAGAAAGGAATACCATGGACGGATACGCCAAGGCTTATTAGACCGAGGGGGGAACGGGGGAAAAGGATTACATGTAGATATGTAAGTCAGGAAGGGAGAACAACTGTCGACTTCCAAAGTTTGGACTTGAAAGGGGGGGTAGAGGAGGGGGAGAGAGGAAGGAAACTGGGAAGTCGGATGGGGGGGACTTGGAAAGGCGCCGAGGCTTCCTTGGATGGAGGGACGGCCCGTCTTGTGGGGGCGGGGGAAAATGGGGGAGTGGATTGGAGCGGGTGGGGGAGATGATGTGTATTGGACAAGGCCGTGTTTGCGTGGCGGGTCGGAGGGAGGGTCACGTTCCCCCCCTGGGGGCCCCCGCTTCCCCCCTTCTCCGGCTCCTTCCGATCCCTTGTTCCTGCTCCCGCGCCTGATCTTTGGATGTCTAGGTTTTTATTCCTTACCGTACCGTGGCTCCCCACGCTGTCGCGTGTCGCGGCGTGTGTGTTTGTATGCTATGTCTTTTGCGCGATATAGCCCCCTCCCCTACCTTCCCGCCCCCGGGCCCCTCCCAGGAGTGCCCCTGCTGGAGATTGTGTCCGCGCCCGACATGCGCAGCGGCCGGGATGCGGCGGCGTACGGCGAGGAGTTACGGCGTGTACTGCGCACGTGCGGTGTGACGGACGGCAACATGGCGGAGGGCTCCATGCGGTGTGTGTGAGGGGGGGGAGAGGAGGGGAGGGGAGGGGAGGGGGGCCTGGTCCCCTCCCAGTCCCTGTCCCGTTGCCGTCTCCCACGGACGTGCACAAATACATACATACATACATACATACATACTCATCAGCACTTGCTTCCTTTGACTTTTGCGTGCGATTTCCCCCTCCCCCCCACATCCCCATGTGAGCAGTGTGGATGTGAATGTGAGTGTACGGCCCCGGGGAAGCCCGGTGTACGGCACTCGTGTGGAGATCAAGAACATGAACAGCTTCTCCAACATGCAGAAGGCCATAGACTACGAAATTGAGCGACAGGTGTGTCGGTGTGTGTCTGTATGTGTATGTGTATGTTGGGGCCCAGGGGCTTTGTTAGGAATATTGGGGGGGGAGAAAGAGTTGGGGGGAGTTGGGTCCTCCCATCCCCCGTCCCAAAACACACGGTCTTCCGCCCCCTCTCCCGCGCCCCAGCTTGCCACTCGCCACACGCGGCGCCATTCGGCAGCTGCGGCCGAGCGTTACCTATCTTTGTGTCTGTCTGTCTGTCTGTCTTGTGGTCGGTCGGTCTGTTTGTCTGCCTGTCACTCCGTTCGCTGCAACGGGCTGCCCCGCCTACCCTCCTTCCCCCTTGCCTGTCTCCCCCTCCCCCACCCGCGCGCCCGCCCGACCGCCATCCTGGGGTGTTCCCTCGTGTCACACGGCCCGTGTGCGTGTATGTACGTCTGCATGTATGTCCTCGCCAGGTGGGGCTCCTGAGGTCGGGTCGCGGGGACGAGATCGTACAGGAAACCCGGCTGTGGGACGAGATTAAGCTGCTCACCAACACCATGCGCAAGAAGGAGGGGCTGGCGGATTACCGGTGGGAGGGGTGGGGGTTAAGTTGGGGGTGGGTAAGTTGGGGCGTGGGGACATCGTTTGATGCAGTGCGCAAGAGGGTATCGGTTGCTGGTACGTCCAAGGAACACCAGCTGGGGGTTGGGGGGTTAGGGGTTGCAGCACGTGGAGAGGAAGGGGGGGGCGGAGGGGGACGGCGGCGGGTAAGGCGCCCAGACCATACGCACATACATACGTACATACATACGTACATACATACGTACATACATACGCACATGACCCTCTAGTGCGAGGTGAGGACATGACTCCCGGAGTAGACGCAGCTACTGCCAGTACTGCTAGGGCTTCCCCCGTGTCGAACGGACACAGGCAACCCCCCTTCTCCCCTCCTCGCCCAAGGCCCACCCAAGGCCCACCCAAGCCCCATCCTCGCACCCTCGCACATACCCCCACCCCCACCACCACCGCCTCCAGGTACTTCCCGGAGCCCGATCTGCCGCCGCTGACGGTGTCGGATGAGTTCGTAGAGCAGGTCAAGGTACGGCGGGGAGGGGAGGGGAGGGGGTTAGTGGTGGTGTTGGGGGGGAGGACACGGGCGCACATGAAGCGCGCAGCGCCGTCGCGGCTTTCGGGACATGCGGGTGTGGGGTGTAGGAGGGGGGGAAAGACGAACCACGAACGAGTGAAGCTGCTGCCAAAGAAAGAAAGAGTGTACAAGGCGTCGGGGGGAGCGGGGCGGGGGGGCGGCGCGGGGGGGGGGTAAGAGGTACATGTGCACATGCATGTGCGTCTGTCAGTATATTTCTCACCCCACCTTCCCCGTAAGAAATTTCACGAAGCCTGAAACGCTGAAGTCTGAAAGGGCTAACACTCGCCTAGGGTCGCCTTTCCGCTGAAGAAGCCGTCCTCTATCTCTGGTATCTGGCATCTGCAGCTATCGTCAGCGGTTCGTGTTACCCCCTGAAACCCCCTTCACACCGCCGCAGGCCTCCATGCCCGAGCTGCCCGCCGCCAAGCGCGCGCGCTACCTGTCCCTGGGCCTCAGCCGCGGCGATGTGGCCGTGCTGACGGACGAAATCGCCACCTCGCAGCTGTTCGATGCGGTGCTGGCGCTGGGGGCGCCCGTGAAGCCGGCAGCAAACTGGATCCAGGGGGATATCATGGCGTACTGCAAGGTACGAGCACGTAGAGTACGAGCAGGTGGCAGCCCCGCAGGGGGAAGGGGGGAAAGGGGGGTTGTCGGATAGATGGTGAGCTGAGGGTGGCGTGTGGGCCGTGACGATAAGAGAACGTTTGTGACACCACCGTGTCTGTTCGTCAGTTTGTTTCAGTTCGCTAGTGCGAGAACTCTCTCAGCCTGCTACACACTGCTACACACTGCTACACACTGCTACACACTGCTACACACTGCTACACAACGGAGGGGAGGGCTGTGGTGGGGGATGTTGCGTACACGTACACTGCACAGCCCCCACCCGCCCACCACCACAATATTGAACCCCCCGTCATACATTCCGTTCTCTCTCCCTTCGTCCCCAACAGCCATCACCTCCACCATCGCCTCCACCACCACCTCCACCACAGCCACGCCATCCCCCTCTACCTCCACCACTATCACCACCACCACCACCACCTCCTCCACCTCCTGTCATGTTGTTTTCATTCCTGCGCGTCCCGCCTGTCCAGCTTCCCAGCTTTCCAACACCCCCTTCGAATGCAAGTCGGCACTTCACCCTTTGTTGCATCATCGCCGTTACCATCATCATCACACCATCATCAACATTAACATCATCACATGACTCAACTACCCCCCACCCCCCGCTCCGGAGTATACGGCGTTCTACGGCTTTCTCTTCTCGTTAATCGTCTGTTTCTCCGTCGTACCCCCTTTGCGGAGTCCGTGCAGGAGTCCAAGGTAGGTATGGACGGTCTGTCCATCAGCCCGGGGGCGCTGGCGGAGATGATCTCCCTGATCGAGGACGGCACCATCAGCGGCAAGATCGCCAAGGAGGTCCTCCCCGAGCTGCTGCAGGGCAAGGGGAACGAGGGTGAGACGGGGGAGAGGGTTGGGGGGGGGGCGGGGAGAGAGGGTTCGGGGGGGCCCAGGGGGCCGGACAGGGAGGGGGTTTGGAGGGACCGCTTGGGTGAGTGTATGTATGTATGTATGTATATATATGTATGTATGTATGTATGTATGTATGTATGTATGTATGTATGTATGTGCGTCATTGCGACGTTGTTCTTGACTGGGACTGAAATTACGGGAAAGGTCGGCAATGCGTGTGTGCCCTCCGGTCCCCTCCTCCCCTTCAGGCGTACGGCCGTACATTGAGAACCGCGGGCTGTTGATGATCAGTGATGAGGCCGCCATCGGGGCCATGATTGACAAAGTGCTGGAGGCCAACCAGAAGCAGCTGCAGGTATAGGTGGGCTTCTGGGAGCCTGTGCTCAACACGGAGATTGTCTCAATATTGTAAATAGGGACAAAACAGTGTTGTTTATGTGTAATTTTTAGTTTACTAAGATTACGCGAGTGGAACAGTATACAATAAAGAGCGGGGCCCTTCAAAGGGGGGGGTTGACAACCCCTTCGGTTACATAAGCAATACAGAGATTGTCTAGTGCACTTTTAGTGCCTGGGGGGTCAGGGGGTGTGTGGGGTGTCCTAGCCCACGGGGCGGTCATCAGGCAGTGCTCGGAGAAACGGGGCAGGGAGGTTGTTCACAGAGGCAGCGGCAGCCGGGATGTTGTCCGGATATCAGCAGGGCCGCGTTCGTCGAGGGAGTGTATATCGGCAGGGGGGCCGGGAGAAGTGGGGCTTAGGGTCGTTAAAAGCGCCACGACCCAGCTCCAACTTCCCCAGCAATCTCCCACCTACTGGTGGTTGGGGCTGGGGGGGGGGGAGAATGAGGCGTAGGAGGCGACCGGGGACGGAAATACTCCCAAACACCGACCACTGGATTGCATGCAGGGGGGGGGTAGGGGGGTCATGTACCTTTTGGGTCCTGAGGACGGAGCTGCTGTAAGTCCGCCTCGCCTTCCATGTATTATCGCTCGCCGTGCTATTGCGTGTAACCCCCAACCCCCGCCCTATGTCCCCCCTCCCTCCCTCCCTCCCTCCCTCCCTCGTACACGGCCGTATATGTCCGCCTTTAGGAGTTCCGCTCGGGCAAGACCAAGCTCCAAGGCTACTTTGAAGGGTGGGTCGCTGTTACCTGGGTACCTGCTACCTTGGCACCTCTCTGGGCCGCAGGGCTGAGTCGTGTCACTCCCATGGCGGCGCAACCAACACACGCCGCCAGAGCCCAGCAGGCAGCTCTCCCTGCATTTGGCCACACCAGTTCACACCCGCATGCCCGGGAGCTACATGCCACCCACTTGCCCTCACACACACATATGCTCGAGAGCCATGGGAACATGAGAACATGAGGGCCCCGCAGGTGGTGAGCGGTGGTGGTCACCGTTCGGCCCGAGGGTCACCTGTCCCTGCCCTCCCGCTTGTGTGCCCCACACGCTGTTAAGCCGCCCTGCACCTGCACCTGCGCCCTCTGGCCCGCTTTCCCCCTTCCCCCCGCTGCCCCTCAGTCAAGTGATGAAGGAGTCCAAGGGGCGGGTGAACCCGGGTCTCATGAAGGAGATGTTGTTGAGGAAGCTCAAGGGCGAGTGAAGGGGGGGAGGGGAGGGGAGGAAGGGGGGAGGGATTGGGAGGAAGGAGGGGAGGAAAGGGGAGGGAAAAGGCGAACCACAAAGGGGGGAGGGGAGGGGGGGGAGAGGAGGGGAGGGGAGGAAGGGCAGCAGCAGCTGATTGGGTGCGGTGGGTGCGGCTCCTTGGCGCATATCGGGGGGGGGGAAAGAGGAGATCGCAGGGGGTGGTAGGGTGTGTGGCGTTGTGGTGGTGCTGTTGGGGGGCGCGAGAGGGCCTAGCTCTCCCTAGGCTTGAAGGAAGAGGAAGAGGAGGTTGCAACAGGCAGTGGCGAGCACAGTTAGGTTGCGGTGGCCCTTAGGTGGCCCTTAGGTGTTGCGGGGCATTGCTGAGGGGGTGGTAGAACTGCGCTGCACACACACGCAGCCATGTGCTCTTTTCCGATGCCCCCTCTACCGATATGCTTGTAATGTGGCTTGCATGTAGCTCTTCTGCTTGTCGGCAAGGTCGGTTACGAGGGAATGGATCATGCACGGATTGTTATTATTTATATATAATAAGAGTTATGGATACTGTACGGCGTTAGGATTGTACGGCTGCTATTACGGCAACGGGGTTCACAATATCATCCGCAAGTGAACAAAAAGTTTTTCAGCGGTGCCCGCGCGCAGCGGCGTGTTAGTGTCGCTGCCGTGTTGGTGGCGGTTGGGAGAGGAGGTTGCAACGACCCTGCCTTGATGTCGATGCTGTGTGATGCTTTTTGTTGAGCCATGTCGTGTTATTAACACTGTCGGGAGGATTTGCGGATGTCGTACAGCGGTATATTTAGAGCGTTATTTAGAGCTCCATCCGGGGTTTGCTACGTCTTCAAGGGAACGTGAGTTCATGTGCGGTCGGCGGGGTTGGTGGGAAGTCTCCAGGCTGCGGCTGTCCTAAGCATTCTGTTCTGAGCAAGGACCGTTCTCGTGAGAAATTATCAGACGTTACAAAAAGGTACCTGCAAGCAATTGAAATAAGTCTTCTTTCGGTAGGTAGAGGCCGGATGGAGACCAGCTACCGCAAGGCGACCAACTAGGCCTGGACACCTAACGCCTCACAGCAGCGACCCTTACGTAGCTACGAAACCCGGAAAATATTTTAGCATACCAGAGCGTCCTCCTTTACCGGCATTACATGGCGTACCATCGCGTAACGGGGCAAGGAAACGGTCCGTAAAGGTTGTGTTCAAGACGTGGCTCTTAAAGGCTTCTTGTCCAGCTATGCACTCTTTAATGCCCTACCCTGCGGCATTCCCTTGGGGTCTGGGGCTCGCTGTAATACCTGCTACTACTGCTACTAAAGTCGTGCCCTACAGACAGGCTGGGAGGGCATGGAGCAGCATGGGGCAGAAAACCCTAAAAGCCTAAAACCACAACCTCGCTTTTTATCTTTCAAGCCTAGAGAGGTGAAGGGATGTCCCTGCTTGCTTGGCTGATCCTCAAATTGCAAGCTCAGCCAGATGCCCTCATCTTCCTTGGCAACCCTTTATCTGGCGCATGCCGAGAACGAGTCTGAGTTTCGGCTCAGCTTCAGGCGTTCAGAAGGTTCAAAGATGGTTACGCACTTGCTGTTTGAATTTAGACGTCGCTGTAACTGCCGTACGCAAAACGTTTGGCGCCATCATTTGCTACCCAGTTCAACAACACCACTTACGAGGGTTCCGTCCCGACGGTGGCGTCTAGACATGATGTTGCAACCAAGGATCAGCTTTCAGGGCTGACTTGCTGCACAGGGCTGCTCCCGGTTGCATTATTTCGGAAGTTTGGGAGCGTTCCTTAAGGCACAGAACCTATGACCCACCCGTCGTGATCCTGCTACTTGGGTAGAATTTACTTAACAACCACCTGTGGCCAGAACCACCCTCTTCGAAATACTATTTGGCTTGCTTGCTGGTACTTAGCTTGCACCTAGCTTGCGGGCTCCTTGCGAGGTTGCTGGAGAGCTTCCAACTGCTGCAGAGGCTTTCAGGGATTTTGAAGCTGGGTGGGAGATGGACCTTGCTCATCAGGATCAGGGGAAGCAACCAGAAAGACAGTCACAGCCGCTGTGCCGAGTCACTCGAATCGAGGCTTGCGGTAAGGACCATTCCTGCACTGCGTAGTACATCAGGACGATCACTTGGTGCGCGCGGCTTTAGGCTTCCGGTTTCAATTCACCCTGTTTCAAAGCTGCAGTGGGAACACACAGCTGTCTGGGGTCAGCCATGGAAAATGCTGCGCGCTCAGTTATAATTGCAACATCCAAGTTGTAATATTCCACGAAGCCGCCCAGCACTTTTAATACCTTGCAGCACTTACATGCACCTGGCAGCGACAAAAGGTTGAGCTGAGAGACGCGTTCTCATGGAAGCTTTTTAACGATATTTGTTCCCATTTCCATCCTTTCACTTCACCGCCGCCAACCCTATTCGGTGGACGTACTGCCCTCTCTTTTGCGCGATAAACGACCCGTGGGTCGCTCAGGCTGCTCTTTCTCATCAAGGTGCCCAACACGCCACGCCATTGTCTGATGACATCGCCCCGGTCTCCAGGTTTCAAGTGCTTCCGCGACCGTGTGGACGTGCCGCTGCGGGATCCCGGCCTTGTCTGCATCGTGGGGCCAAATGGCTGCGGCAAGAGCGTGCTGGTGGGGGATTAAGGCTCCCTCCGGGGGTGATGTGGGTCTGGGGGTGATGTGGGTCTGGGGGTGATGTGGGTCTGGGGGTGATGTGGGTCTGGGGGTGATGTGGGTCTGGGGGCATGCAGGAGTTTTCCTTTTCGTGAGTGCAGATGGACCTTCTCCGTACGCCTAACCTAAGAATGCAGCCACAGACACAGACACACAGAGACACAGACACACAGAGACACAGAGACACAGAGACACAGACACGGACACAGACATACACCCTACTAATGTCAAAAAGTCAAACCCGAAGCCAAGCGCTGTATCTCGATGTGGGTCAATCGGACCCCACAAATTCGAGGAGCAAGCGTAAGATGTGGCATCTGGGCCGCAGCAACAAAGAGAGAACCACCAGCATGTTACGGTCTTACCGTCTCGTCATCATTGTTAATAATATTATTATTTTTTTCACAATGCGGGATGAAAGATCTTTCAGACCTGCAGACCCTGAGATCGATCCCAGACAAGAACTTGTTCCTTCTTGCCGTACTGAGGCATGCGTTATGTGGCTTCTGTTTGGAAAATCACCTGAATGGCTTTCCGCCGCCATTGGTCTTAACTGCGTCGGTGCCCCCGCCTCGCGTGAGATGTGCTGCCCGAGGATGAAACTATCATTGCCGTACAACGGAAGGATCATTTTGGGGGTGTGTTTTCGTACATCATTTTTTGTTTGTTTATCCGCATGTGTACGAACTCCCCGCCTTCTGTACGGCACAGGGGGAGTGCCTGGCGTTTGCACTCGGCGGCGGCCGACACATGCTCCGCGCCCGCAACCTGGCGTCGCTCGTCAACGAGGAGTACTACTCTTGTCGTACAGCAGCAGCGACCGGTAGGATGACGTGCCCAGGCCGCTGCAATGGCGGCGACGGCGGCGGCAGCGTTGCGCCGCCGCCGTACGTGGCGGTTACCTTTGAAGGTGCCGGTGGCGATAGCTTGCGTGTGGAGCGGCGGCTGGTAGTGGCGGCGGCGGCAGGGCCCGATGGGGGGCATGGCGGCGGTGGCGGCGGTGGCGGCGGCGGTGGCGGTGGCGGCGGTGGTAAGGGGGGACGCGGTGCCGTCACAGCGACGCGAGTAGAGGCACCGGCGGGCAGCGGGCGGTGGCGACAGACTACACAGGTACCTACAGACGACTCCGTACGGCACCGTACAGTCGCTCTTAACCTGGCCGCTAGAAAGACGTGCGAAGGGCACTGGACTCTTTGTAACTCTGCTTCTTTTTACGACGTCTTATCTGTGTCGTACGGCCTTTCGTACGACCTTCCAGTGGCCCTATCCAGGCCCCCTCGTGGCTCCAGGGCTGGGCCCCCCCTGGTTCCCCCTTGGGAGGGTGGGTAACGCAACCCCAGAAGGTGGTGTAATACACACACACACACACATCCATATTCACGACGCCAAAAGTCATGTTCGTGAGAGGGCGATTACAGCCCGTGCATTACGTTCCAATCCGTAAATCCAGCTGGGGACCTTTATAGATTAGGAACAAATTGAACCACATTTTTTACATTTGCATGTTATATGATTTCCAAGAAATGGGCGAGAGCACTTTTGTCCTCTGCCCCACCAGGGGAGGCTGATGGTGATGGGCTTACCTTTACCTTTACCTTAACCTTACCACGACAGGACAGGGCACGACAGGGCACGACAGCACAGGACGTCACCCCTCTTACTCCACCACTAACTGCAGGAGGAGCTGGCGTCGACGCTGCGGCCGTACGGCATCTGTCCCGGGCCCGCCATCGACCGTTACGTGGTTTCCCAGGCCCGGCGGGGCGCGGCGGTTGAGGTTTCGGAGCCGCTGCGGCTGCTGCGACACGTGGAGGCCTTGCTTGGTTTGGGCCACCTGCAGGTGGGTGAGAGGTGCAGTGGGGTGGGGTGGAGTGGGTTTCACATAAGAGTGCCGTACGGTGCTGCCCAAACATACCCCATGTACGTAGCGGCGTGTACGGGGCTGCTACTGCCCCGTAAATCAAGCGCTACTGCGCACGTGCGGCTTCGTGGAAAAACATTGTGTGCCCGTACAGGAGAGACTGGCAGTGGTCGAGGACGAGATCCGTACAACCACCGTACAACTGGACGAGCAAGACAGTAGGGCCGCGAGGTGAGACGGAGCTGGGGCTTTTGTGCGTGGTGGTGTTTGTTAATCTGTGTTAGAAGTTATAAGTTCCGCACATGTGCGGGGGTGTCAGTAAAAGCTAGGGTGACCATAAATGGATGAGTGAATAGCGTACAGAAAACTCTATCAACATGATACGGGCAGGATTTGAACCTGCGCCCTGCGG